TAAAATTGTTATGAGGAGTGGATGCTCATATTCAAACATTCTGCAAACTTCCTAGCAAAAATATATATATTCTTTATTATGTATGCATAATAAGAAAATGCAATAATTATTTTCCTTGGTTATACATACATATTTTAGGAGTACAGTAATATTTCAAGGATATTTTTATAAAAGATTATTTTCTTAATTATTCATAAGTAATTATACATTGTTTTTTATCTCATCTATTCGGTTCCCTGAGATGGAAAGAAAACTAAAAAGAAGTTAGACAGAATCTTTGCCAGAAAATCTTGACTGGAGGGGGGTAATGTGTAAGAAATATTCTCATCTGTATATTTTGCTGGACACTTCAAAGAGATATAAGCTCCGTAATTTGCAATAAACTTAGATGTCCACATACATTACACCGTTTCGATGAATTGTAAAAAAAAACTTGGTTCCCGCATTGCTTTGCTTTATGCTAAATGCTATCGTAGCTATATCAAACAGCATTTTGTTAAACTTTATCATGGTTAAATTTCTTTTTTTCTAAAATGAAATCTAATGTCTTGCTATTTTTAGAATCGATGAGGAGGAAATCTTTCGGAAAAATTCACCTTAAATAAAAATAAATTTCTCTTTCTCCATTGAGGTGTAAGGTTCTTAATTTTGTTATTTTGAAATCCGCTGAATTTCGACTATATGTAGGAAGGAAAAATACATTCGTATTCCTATAAGGTTTATTTAATCGGAATTTACACCTTGATATCAATTTCTTAATTACAAGTTACCGTTCTGATTTTGACACTGGTATATTATGTAGCTTGAGCCGGATGAACCCTTGTCCGAGGGTTCAAGGCTTACTCATAAACAGAAAAAGTTCGGGATTTATATTGGACATTCACACGTAAATAAAGACCATAGAATTAAATAAATTTAAGCAATATATCGATGGATGTAATTTCTTCTCTGTTGTGGAGTTTATAAAAAGAAAATTAACGTGATTCTATTTATTTTTTTTTCAAAACTGATGTTACAAGTTCCTATTGTCCACGTTACAAACCCTTGGCCAGGTACACAATAAAATAAATTGGACATCCTAGTCATTTGTCGCTTCGATTCCTTTTATTGCACCCTCATTTTCTTCCCTCCACTCAAGAGTTTATTTTATTACAATAATAACTGTTTGAAGTATATACCTAAAGGACATCTGACCTACACTCATCATGTGTGACCGAATTTATTCTTGCGTAACCTCACTGCTTACGTCAGAGATATAAATAAGTAAATTACATCGTCTCCGGTTGCTAACACTAAGTTTTGATGAATCGCGTGTTACAGCTAGGTTGCGCCGCAAAATTAAATTCTACTTTATATTCTTATCAAAAATGCACAAGTTTGAGTACACGTTATTAATTCAAAACAAACTTTTCCTTTTCGGATCTTGTAAAGCAGTTCTTCACATAATGTAATATATTCTTCCAATTTCTGGATTTTAAATTTTACGAGTAAATATTTTTTATCCGTAAACAAAAATTACTAGAGTGTATTTTAATATTAAGATGATAGTTTCAAAGTTTTCTACGGAAGCCCTGGAGGGACATTGACTTACTTCTAAGGTATTTTGACTTAGTTCTTATGACTTAATTAATTGTTAATTATTGTTATTTTACAATTGTTATCACACGTTTACTTTACCCAAAACGTGGCGTACACGATAGAGGCTACGTGTAGTCTCAGAAAAGAAAAATGAATATTTTGCCTTTGATTTTTTATTAATGACAAGATAAAGTAGCAGTACTAGTGATGTTCATGTGTTTAATCATTATGCACACTGGAAGTTATGAGTTATAACTGTTAAAGGCAGAGATTTTTTACCGGGTGGTAAATTCCAGGTGAGGGAGGGGCTTATTTTGTACAGGTGTGAATGCCCTGAGGGCCAGCAGTCTACCTGCGGTCGTTTGTCTCCTAATCCCTATACACAGGAAGTGATTTAATACACAGCAGAGTACCCAAGAAGTCAAACTTTACCTGTGTTGGGATTTTGAGATGATATTAAAATAGAAATAAAAAGTTGTAAATAAATTTTAATCTCAATAATTTTTATTAATTTGTAATTAGATATGTGTCAAAGTGCCCCTGCCCATTAAAAAATATTATTATTCAAAGTATTTGTTGAGCTATGAAAAAAAAAGTTATACCAAATTTTGATATATATTATCGTAAAGAAAATCATAATTATTTCAAATATTAAAGGTGTGTATGTATATATATTATCAAGCTAAAAATTCCATAGTAATACAGCTTCTCCATTGTTTATACCATGTGTGGTAAATATCAAAGAATCAAAAGTTAATTTGATGGACACCAGGAGTGTCAAACAAGGTGTACAGGGTATACACAGGGACTAGTAAGTAAATGTCAATCAAGTTCTAGCACCCAATGATGTACCTTAACGTACTTGATTGACAGGGGTACACAGACCAGGTATTTTTGAAGGCGGTGCTTAAAATCTCTGCCTTTAAGTAACAAGAAATTACATAATTATGAGAATCAACAAATAACAATTAAGTTATAACAGCTAAGTTACAAGATATAACAGATAAGAATTATGCAATCACAACTGTACTGGACGTTCAATTACAATTATAATCAATAAAAATCCAAAGTTACATGTAAACTAGGACTGAATATATCATTTAAATAATAAACTTAAAGACTCAATTTTTTTACCGTACGGTTACCTGAGGAGGGGGAGTGGTCTAGGAAGTACTGGTGTTATTTACCTGGAGAGCCCCAATACTCAAGATGTCAAAAATCCCTATACACGCTGCATTACACAGGAAGTCCGGCTTTTGGTAATCAGGGTCAACATTACAAGTTTTGTGCATAATTTTGAGTGAAAATATTGAAAATAAATTAGGTACTGAAATATAAAATTTGTAGACTTAGCGTTTTCGTCGTTATCTTTTGAATAAAAAAAAATTAAAAAGACATATCTTTTTTAAAAATCGTAAAATTAATAATAATAATAATAAAAAAGGGTGAAAACTACGAAGCAATCATATCAATATTTTAATCGCCAATAAAAGAAATTATTATAAAATATTAAGTGTGAATATTAAAATAAAAAGATCTACTTATTGTGTGAACATTTACCACATCGGAATATTATTTAGTTTTCTGGCGAACGATTGTGTCCAAATATTCGCCATTTCCGAGGGTCCGTGTTCTTATGCCCTGTTTACAGATTTGGACATAAAAAGAATCTTTCGTAATTCATGGCGTTAAATACAAGATACTTTATTTATATTAGTATAAATATCTTTTCTTATTTAATCCATTGCATTTTGTTATAATATTCAATGGTGGGGGAGGGGGTCGATTGTTTCTAATTACGGCGAATTGAGTTTTTGTGTAGCCAAGTGCAAGGTCGACAAGTGCATTACGTACATTCTTAAAATCAAGGCACAGGTTGAATAAGGGGCTCGGAAGAATTATCGGTCTGTGTTACTACAGAAACTTCTTCTCTCTCTCTCCGGATCTCAGTTACTGAAAGAAGAGAGGGCTTGAATATCCGCTAATTTTTCTTCGAAATGTTCTACAGTTATTTTGGACATCATACCGCTAACAAGTACAAAACAGCAGTGGAGATTGAAAAAAAAATCACGAAGTCACTGTTTAATTATCTACTCTCAATTATTTTTTTAAAATAAAATTATCAACCAATATAACAGCGACATGATTTTTTTTTTAACCATAGTGTATACAAAGCGACCATTCATGCGGCACATGAAAGCGTTTGACGCGTGACCAGGTAATTGTTTTCAAAACATGCAAACTCAGATTATCAGGTAGCTCACGTAGCTGGCCCGTCAATCAAATCAGAAGCTATTGTTTTTTTAATGATTGACAGGCGGTATATTATTGATCTTGAATTAGGTAGATTTTGGGGGCGTTAACATAAAATTGGGTGTTTAAGCCAACTACATGTTCTCCATAGCTACGTTACACTTGGTAACAACCAGCAACAAAAAAAGTCATAATAAATAAGTCACAACAAATAAGTCATAACAAGTAATTCAGTGTCCCTCCAGGGATTCCGTAGTTTTCATTCATTTCTATGGCAAATAAAATTATTTTAGCAATGAATTTCAGATCGTTATATATATATTTTTAAAATTGTTAAGTTGTTATATTTAAAGGAAATAGTACTTGTATATTTACATAACATCTCAAAAATTTACATCATTGGTATACGTAATATAATAAATATTAAGGCTCTAAATTTAAAAAAAAAAAGATCTACAGTAAAGTTTCATAGTAAATCAAAGTATCAAAGTATTTACTATATATAGTTTACTATAGTTAACTACCAATTGTTAGGCCATTGTCTGTATACTACATTTGACTATGGATTATTCCGTCTACCTGATCGAGTCGACAGGAGATGCATGCTTACTCCTCCTGGGCACCTGATCCCACCTTTGGAATTTTTCCAGGGCTCCTTGATTTATACCCTGTCACATATTTGTATTGTTTGTAGGTTTTTTGAGATTGATCACTGTTCGTCAATAATTTTCTCTTTTTCATAAGACAGGTAATAAATGTCTAATGGGTCATTTTACTTGAGGTAGAATTTGAAACAAGTATAAATCATGCATTTTTGGGTGTTTGGGATTATTTTCGGATGAAAAGATGTGCATTACTTTAGTCAGACAAATTTTATTTTCCCTTATCCTTCCTCTCCTCTCGGAGTTATCGTTCCCGGTAATGTTGAAGCGTAGCGTAGTACCCCTCTGGTGAGAGATTTTCAGTACAGCTGCTGCCAGTATCGCGACCTCATGTCGTTTGTGGGGTTTCCTCTTATGATGCTGCATTCCTGGTTATTTTTAACTTTTTTGCAGGATTACTTGGAATACACACCAACAATCTTAGTTTGATAAAAATACTGAGCCAATCAGTGATGTTAAAATGTGGAAACGTGGGCAAAATAAGTAAAGTATCAAAATAATAAATTGCTAAAATGGCTGACAGAAAATCAGTGTGGTCTTAGTGTAGATGAAGTCTTAGATAGGATTTTAGAAGTTAATTCAGGTTAGGGTTCAATTCCTGATTATAATATTTTATACCTGCATTTTCGAAAGAAAGTTCGGGTGTATTGTAATACTTGTCCGTCTGTCTGTATGAGGCGCCGTTTTGGTATTTACTGCCAAAAAGGGTTATCACCTATTTGAATAGGTGATATCACCTATTCAGTTGGTGATATCACCTATTCGAATAAGTGATATCACCTATTCAGCTTCTGAATAGGTGATATCACCTATTCGAATAGGTGATATCACCTATTTGAATAGGTGATATCACTTATTCGAATAGGTGATATCACTTATTCGAATAGGTGATATCACCCATTCAAATAGGTGATATCACTTATTCCTTTTAAATAGGTGATATCACTTATTCGAATAGGTGATATCACCTATTCAAATTAAATAGGTGATATCACCAATTCAAATAGGTGATATCACTTAATCATTTTGAATAGGTGATGTCACTTATTCGAATAGGTGATATCACCTATTCGTATAGGTGATATCATTTATTCGAATAGGTGATATCACTTTTTGGCAGTAAATACCAAAACGGCGCCTCATATGTCTGTCACACTTTCTTCTTCCTGTAATTCCTTTTACAATTTTCATTTTTTTTTTTTTACATTTTAAGCAGTACTGTAACCATGCAATTCATCTTTAAAGATATGATAGGAGGTGTCTTGTAGATGTGCAATAAGATTTTCAACAGAGTTTCATTTTCATCCCTTGGGGCATATACAATAAGGTTTTCAACAGAGTTTCATTTTCATCCTTTGGGGCCAAATGGGAGTTGAAAAACGACGGGGTTTTTTTCCTACAAAAACTTGACCTGGTTCTCTAAACTCCTCTTACATTTTATGAGTATCCAAATAATCTATTGCAAGATGATTGGTGGTGTAACGTTTCGGAATTTTCATTTTCACCATTGGGGCCAAATGGGGTCAAAAACGACATTAAACTGGGTCCCAAAACTCCTCTTACATTTTACACAGTATAGCCATTTCATCTTTTGCAAGATGATTGTGGATGTGCCGCAGGAGTGCAATAAGGTTTCGGAATTTTCATTTTCACCCTGATGGGCAAATGTCGGAAAACGATTTTTTTAAAAAATAGAAACCCGGTTCCAAGAACTCCTCATACATTTAATTGACCTAGTAGCCATTCCATCTATTACAAGGTCTTTGGTTTGACTCACTGTGCCAACACTATTTTAAAGATGTGGTTCTAAAGAAAAGCCATATATTTAATCAGTGTTAAAAATTCAATTAGCAATTATTCAATCACATGGAACTGTGAAAACAAATGCTGTGTCTGTTCCTTCATGCGTAAAGTCCAGCTAGGGTTTAGTATATAATTGATAATGCAAGCCGAAGCCAGACAATGGGCCCTGATTAAGAGTTAATTAAGTGTTCTGCATTGAAAAATGAAAAAAAAAAACCTGGTAGATTTGTTTAATTATATTTCAGTGCGTGAAAATTTATGTCTTGATTTTTTGATCGTCGCGGACCTTACTGTAGCGCACCACTGGAGATGATGGTGATATTTCTATTTAAGTTACTGTGTCCCACACAATCATATAATTTAAAATGATACTGTTGCGAAGCCGCCACAGTAAAACGACTCATGGCGAACCCTGCGGTATGTATGCATATTTTACGTAAATTATAGAATTACTCGTGTGGCTTCTTCGCTATCCAAGTAAGAATAAGCTAGCGCACATTTAGAGGCAAGCCCTTACTTGCAAGTATTAGTTTTATGACATTCATGTGATATATATCTAGTCACATATACTTTCGACAGCTTAATAATTTTAAGTAGCGACTTTTGTCAAGGGTTTGAGAATAGGAACCTTGACTTTGTGAAGATGTGACTACATTTAAACTTATCTGTTTTCAATTAGCTAAGCCTAGACATTTCCCAAGGCCTTCGTCAATAAGTTTTGCTCTTGTTTGTTCATTCTTTTATTTTTCTTTTATTTCTCTATAGATTTTTTAGTCAAGATGTGGAGTTTGATTTGTCTGATCGCCTTGACCTTCACACCGGAAGTGACCTCTTATCCTTATGGACCTCCACTAGGGGCATGCGCATCAATGTTTCCAAAAGGTCACGGGGTCAATGCACAAACAAGTGTCTCTCCATACAAAATACTGGTCAACGCAACGACATACAAGCCTAATGACGTCATCGAGAGTAAGAAAGGAAAATTCCAAATATTTTTTTTTTACTTTGCTGCATTGCATTTATGTGACCAATTGTATATTCATACCTGCCTAAAGAGAATGAACTGCGCTCCCAACACCCCTTTCCCAATACAATTCTATTTATGGTCATGAGCGCTTGTAAAAATATTTTAATTGATAAATAAATAGATGTTTACAACACGTCCTGACGCTTCATGTAGCCATCCCTATACATGCAGTTTCCAGTCAGTTTCCATAAATGTATTTTTTTTATCCTTTGAAAATTTTACAGCTTATATTTACTACCACCTTTTTTTTAGTAACGGTGAATTCGACTGGTCTTCATGATGTGACATATTTTGAGGGGATGATGGTCCAGGCTCGTAGAATCGCCTGTGATGTGAGTGACCCCACCAAGAGCCACGGGATGTTCTCTGTTATGGAGAGGGATCAATTCCTGGAAACAATGGACTGTGAGAATAATATGAAGGTATTTATATCGTCGTATTCCTTAAATAAACTGTCCTATATATATATATATATATATATATATATATATATATATATATATATATATATATATATATATATATATATATATATATATATATATATATATATGTACACATATAAAAATTAAACTTATAAATTCAAAGAGAAAAGATTTTGACAGTGAACACACACAATTTCGGATGACCAAAATGCTAACATTTATATAGCCACAACAGACGGTTCTAATCGACAGTGTGCATAAGCCATATTAATAAGCTTTCATAATATGTTCTTTCTGACGAGCGCAACGACAGCTTGATAATGCAAACATAAATTTTCAGTCGAACTTGAACTTAATGAATGAACTCCTCAAGAGACAATAAAAAACTTTACGGAAAATTAACGTAGTTTTTTTTGGGGTTACAATTAAACGGTTGCACCGTTGATGGACCGGAAAAAAGTTATTGGTTCGAAGAAAGTGCATAGTTCTATAGTTCTTCGAAATGAATTTTAAATAGCTGTTCGGACGAATAAATAATAGCTGGAACAAATTATAGACATTATTTTGTTCGGACAATAGTTTTCTCTTCGGACAAAGTTGAATGGTTTTCGTTCAGACTCGTTCCCCCTCGACTGCAACTATTTCTTTCTGCTGCGCCTTGGGAAATAGTTGCTGTCTTAGGGGACAATAAACTTTCAATTTGAAATAATAAAAAAGAGACATAATTGATACATAAATGTACATGTATCTCGTATCGAATACAATGTATATATGCTCCATTCAGTAAGTGTACAGAAATGTTATTAAATATATAATATATTGACCCCCCCTTTTTTTTTTTAAATTTATTACTAGTATTTTCACCATGTCAAAATTTAAAGCTTTTATTTGTCATTACAAAAACATACTGTAACAGATTCTTCATCAAGCATATTAAATAAGTGTATCATAAAACAGTAGAAGAGTCCTTATTCCTCCATTACATCAAATACTATGACATTTCCTTGATGACAAATATCATGTTTTATAAATGTAAAGAAAATCTAGGTTCATTTCGTAATTTTTATCGCCATGATCCTTGTCAAGTTATCAAAATACATATATTGAAAAACCAATATTGAAATATTTGAAGAAACAACTCACTTGAGAGTGGGGACAGATGTGTCTGGATTCCCTACCCCCCCCCCTCCCCCCGCCCCAACCCCATTCAAATTTTGTCATCTTGTTGATCTATTAATTATCCTAATATTGATTAATTAGCAAACGGTAACGAAATCGGACGTACAATGCATTTCAATTTGAGTAATCCATTTTTTTCTTTCATTTCGTATTCACCCTTTATCATTTAGTTTTATTTTCACTAGAGTGCGGTGGTACACATGAATCACTCCCACATTGAGAATAAAGTGTTCTACTGGAAAGCAGACTTCTCCTCGTCTGTTGGTCATCTCGTTTTCAGGTAAAGATGATTTGATTGGTTACAGATACTTGCATTAGGGTAGAGAGAGAAAGGGAGAGAGAGAGAGAGAGGAGTGAGAAAAAAGAAATTGGGGAATGGTGATGTTTCTATTTTTATATTTAAGTTCTTACATATAAGTGTACATGCAATGTTGAAAACTACAACCTAAAATCTGAGGACAGATATTTAATTTATATATAATTATATAAAATAAGTAATATAATATGAAACCTATTTATATAGCACACACCCAGATGTATTTAAAACGAATACATAATTGTAATGCACTGTATTCATTATAAAATGTTGCATGGTCTAGTTTAAATTTAATTTCAGAGCAACAGTGGTGAAGTCCACGAAAACATTTTGGGAAAAGATCTATTCCCCTGTCATCAAGGATGAGACATCCGAAGAACCACTGACGATTTGTGAAAATGGGGCGGATCAAGTTAAAATCCAATCTATGTTTACAGTGATCTTTGCCCTTATGCTGACAATGTGTATTACACTGTAGATGTTATTTTAAAAGAAATGCTTGAGAAAAAGAAACAAATTTACTTGTATATACAAATACTTCATGATTAAATAAAAACTCGACAGTAGCTATTTTTAAGGTAGAAAACCCTTGCGTAATACATGTAAATATGTTAACATTAATTTTAGAATTTTGCAACTACTATAGACTTGAACTGTGCTTTGAAGCCTCTTGTATAAAATATTTTTATATTCCCCGAAAACAAATTTTAAAGGTATATACTACATGTATATAGGAATCATCTTGTCCGTCTGTCTGTCCGTTGGCAATGTTGCCTGGTCAGTAAATTCGAAATGGAGAAACATTATAAACTCATACTTGACATAAAGATTGCTAATGATCAGGGAATATCTGATTCCTTGACTAAAAGTTCAAGATCACTGGCAGAAAAAAGTGACTGTATAATTCCTGTCTGGTCTCTAACTTTCCAATGGAGAAACATTGAAAGTTCATTCTTCAATATAATATTACTCATAACCAGATGGTGTTTCATAAGCTTTACCCAAGATCATTCATACAACATTCAAGATCACTTAGAAAATATATAGATTTCCTGACTTGGCAATGTCTACAATTTGCAATTGAGAAACATTTGAAGTTCTTACTTAACATAGCGATTGCTTATGCCCTGTGCATGTGTTATAAATATAATTCAAGGGTCATTTCGACAAGTTCAAGGTCATTGGCAGAAAAAAAGTGTATAATTAATGTCCATTCCAGAACATTCTGACGGAGAAAAACTGGATGGAGCAAATTTACCAAAAAATTACAAAGGGGAAAAAGGGGAGAAAAAGCAGCGAAAGGGAAGGGTGTCATTTTGAGGGCTCCTGAACTAAAGGAGAATGCAGCTTCATACATTTGAGTACAAGTGGTAGAGTACATGTATATTCTAAAGTAATTAAACTACAAAGAAATAAGACCAAGGAGTGTACAGAGGAGTAACATTTATCCAAAATTATTATTTTTCAATATTTTTTTTTGTGTTTGGTTTATAGATGAGGAACCTTTTTTTTCATTGCGTCCGTTAATATATTTTGTGCTTTCCTATTTGGAAAAAAATTGAATAAGAACTTTCAATTAATTTATTCTAGTATACTTGCTTTTTTGCAACACATTTGTTAATTAGATTAATTGCATGATCTGTTTTATCATGGAATATATGACTTAAGGACCCTATATACACAAGTTTAAGCAAAATGGTTTTAATTTAGACATTGAGAAAATTATATTGTACAAGGTGTTAATTAATTAAGATTACTTCGTGTGTTGTTATATATCTGTTGCATTTACATAATTCTTTCAGTCTTCAGTCCATTTCCATGAAATTCCCTCGTGAACGTATTCTCGCAGTGTCAGAGGACACGTGTACATTCATGTCTTATGAAGATATTATTTTGTTACGCGGACTAGTAGATGTATTATTTTAAAGTACTTTATTTAAAACTTGAATGTTGCTTTTCTTTTGCTATGCTTATTTTAGCTTATAGATAAAATCCATTTTAAAATTCAATTATTTGCTCACAAATTAAGAAAAAAATCTAAGATGATATACTGTAAAATCACATTATTTTCGAAGGGTCATATTTTCGTGGTTTGAGGAAAAAATAATGTTTTGTGGGGATTTGATTTCGTGGTTAAAAAAGTATTGCCTTGTGATATATATGTACATAATTTTGTTGGTCTTCTCATAACACGAAAACAACGAAAATTTACCCCCTCACAGTAGGCTATATAATAATACATTGTATTCTCAATTATAACAACTGAAAAACACTAGCTTTGTACTTTGTTTTATATGTTTTATGATATTGTCATGATATGGCACTGTAAATAAATGAGTTCAATATAAAGAACTCGAATTTGGAACATCATATGCAATCACTACACGTGTTCATAGTGTCACCGCATTTGTACTTTATATGTAGAGTAAAATAAAGATATGTAGATCTACCATGTGAACTGTGTTTTCCTTGAATTTATTTCTCAACAACCAACAGGGCATGTCTAATAAAATGCTGTAAAATTAAATTGGAAAAATTGCGCCACCAGTAAGTTATATAATTACAGAATTGGATTTACGTACAGAAAATATTATTGTTGACATTATCTTTAGCATAAATTTACACGCCTTATCTAGATTACGGACACATTATTATTTGATTTTTGGATCATAGCGTTCGCATTTTTTTCATTTGCGATATGATTTTATTTCGTTAAAATTTACAAAGAAAAAATTCAGAGCTAACAAAATAGACCACGCATGTAATATCTTGTCAGGAGAGGGCAGAACAAAAAATCAGATATGAAAAAAATGTGGTGGATGAAATGATTGCATGAAAGACAAGAGACCCATGGGCCACATCGGTCACCTGAGCACATTGGCTAGGAAGAAGCAGAAATCAGTTCAGTATTGAAATTGTCCCAGTGATTCTTGAGAAGAAGTCGAAAATGTAAAAAGTTTACAGACGACAGACGAACGCCGGACATTCTTTCATCAGTAAACTCACTTGAGCCTTCGGCTCAGGTGAGCTAAAAAGGAAAATAACAACCTTTATTATGGTAACAAACCGAAAGATGGAGATTAATGTTCGCTGGCAGAATGAAAAGTACCATCACCATAAAGTACGGCACACGTCTGCTTGATAAGTACATACAACCAATCACTGACTAGTTTATTGTATTTTTATATAAAAGAACAGTAATTTAAATTTCTATCACATTGTACATAATATATCAAAATTACCTTAAGGTTCACAGACCTTGTGATGAGAGATACTTCTCACTGGGATAAACGCCTACTATGATTTAATTTTTTTTGTCAGATCATAAGCGTAAAAGCAAAATTTTATATGAGAACAGAGGGCTGAAGGACCTTTAAACAAAGCAATTTGTCTGTCCTAATTATTGATTTGCATGCCATTTTCGTGTATTTTCGTGTATACTCACGCGTAGAGATATATACGGAGAAAATCGCGCTAAAGTGACGTCACAATGAGGCTACAGAGACGTTAATAAAAATGTAACGATATGGGACAGCGAGAAATTTAAACATTTGAGTATGTTTTTGGTGCTTTTAAGCATGTAAAATGTAAATATAAGGAATGTTTTTAAGTTTAGTGTGAATTATTGGTGTGTAAATCACACAGACTTGCATGTAGGCATATTTTTCAACAGGTGCGGATCCAGGGAGGGGGGTCCATCCCAGTCAAAACAAATTCTAACCCAAAAATTTCTTGACAAGCAAAAAAAAAAAAAAAAAAAAAAAAAAAAAAAAACTTTTTTAAACGTGAAAACACCTATTTCATGGTGATGATGGTGGGGTCCACGTTTTCTAGGGGGGCCCGAAGTCATTTTTCATTTGCTTCAGTATATACTTTTTATAACTGCAAATTCCAGGGAGGGGTTGTTGTTGTTGTTGACCCCACCCCCATCTAGATCCGCGCATGATGAAATATGCCTACATGACAAGTCTATGTGATTTACACACCAACAAAAATCGCTTGCACGAGATCTCTAGTAATCTAAGGCTGTGTATGATTTCATTGTTACAGGAATTAAACATTTGAATGCCTAAGCCCTTTGATTTGTTCCGTGCATGAAATTTTCATTCCTCCTCCCTGGCAGATAAAAAAGTATTTATTTAATGACAAATGATACAAAAGAAACTTTATCAAAAACCTTGAAAATCACGTATGTGGAGACCTATCAAAGTTTTTGAGTCTGGGTAACAAGAAAGATAACTCTGAAAAGGAACTTTGATATCACAGATTTTGAAAATAATTTTTCTAAATCAATATACATGTATTTGATGTTCATTCATTTTTTGTTGTAATTTAATTCATTAATGTTTCTTCTATACTATCGGGAGACTTCCTTAATTTTTTTCCTCCATGTATTTGAGAGTAAATGAGTTATATTTATTTTTTATAACTTTTATTTCCTTGAAAAATATGTTGACTGATAAAATTAAAGTATTTGTGGGCTTTTTCTGAGCTTAATAATATATTTCCAGAAAACATAAAATTTGTTGTGTGTTATTTATCAAAAGTCGGTGAGGAAAGAATCTTAAAACTTATGAAAATAATTTTTTTTTAAAAAAATCAGTATAAATTATATTTCAATTCTTGGTCAGTTTTTAAAGGTTGATATGCTCGTTAAAGCTGCATGAACACGCTTCGTAAAAAGAATCCGTCCGCCATATTCTGTTGGACTCATGCTATATCTGAGGGCCCCCAAATATAGAGCCGCTCACTTGGTCAATGTTCAGTGTAATCAATTGTCACCGGTGTAGACGGACGTACATGTATGCTATACATCACTTGGTAGCGACAAAAATAACTGTGTGCTTCTTCTAATGCAGGAGAGTAAGATCCCAAAGAGATTTACAACAGTTGCACAGGTTAGTGCAGTATACAAACAAACACAATTACACGTCAGTAACTGCAATAAAATGTAAAGAAAGATAATGCAAGATAACCAGCACGAACACGGGTTGCCATTCCACGCCGATACCCGTGACAATAAAGCAGTCAGGTGTAACGAATGCGAAGAGTATACCCTGGTGCTGCTATCTTAGACAGTAATATCGAAAATGGCGTATGCCAATTTACGACTCGTGTTCAGCTTTAATAGTAATGCTAACATAATCTGGGGATGTGTGGAGGACCTTAAGGATCCTCCACACACATTTCAAAATTTAACATTTTGTACCAAATGACTCATCTGGCCTTGTTTCAAGTTATTTTTGAGGAAATCAAAACACACAATTGGAAAAATATTTCCCTTTCCAAAAAAGGAACAAAATACATCAAAAGAATGTTAAAATTTAATTTTACAGTTCAATAAAGTCTTCACTTTTCAAGTGCACCCGGATTCCTACCGAATGTCAATCAAAAGCGCCCTCGTTCTTTTGAAAATACCAGGTGGCAGTAAATACAAAATAAATTTATCTGGTAAATTCGTGACATTTCTGCACCCGCATAACCAGTGCTAATGCCTTTTATTACGCAAAATGAACATAAATTTCATAAAATACTAGATACCTGATATTTGTAAATTGCATATCTCATTTCGAATCTGAATTTGAAAAAAAATACACGTAAATTTCCAGAAAAATCACATATACTAGTACTATAATACAAATAACATGACAGATGTAACTGGAAAATCACTTTATTTTGTTATCTAACTGGAAAATTAAAATGTATTTTGTTCTTTGGTTGTGAAACATGAGATATTCCCGACGGCCACAGGACTATACATGTATATATTTCGTCAATTTTTGCAGCTACAGTCATTTGCGCATTTGCAAGATTCAGGACTGGTGCAGCCTTTTCCACATGCGCAATTACCTGCCAAAAAAAAAAAAATCTGTACATTTTTTTTATTA